ATATATATATATATATATATATATATTTTAACTACTGAACATCCTTGGGACTTGCATAATGTCTTGTCAAGGCTCACTATACACTTGTTCTTCATATCCGGTATTCCATAAGGACTCTGCTATCTCACATTTGCTCTCTTGAGCCATGCCTTGCAAAATTTAAGAAGGTAAGTGAGCAAAGCCCATTCTGTCACAGTTCAGAAAACTATTTAGGTACCTCAAGAAATCACCTTCAGCCTCCTAAACCATGCATGCATACTTGGAAATTAAACATTATGTCACTTTGAATTCAGGGGTAGTTGCCATATCCTGGAGAATTTAATACCATAATTGAAGTTCTCCCAAGGTATAATTAATTATATGTATTTTGAAACAGGGTACATAACATCTTGCATTAGCATCCTGTCCTTGACCGCTAAACTCCCAAAGTTAGGCCAAATCTGTTGCAAATGGTTGGCCTGGGCAAGAGATGATAGTTAAATGGGTGATCACATATGATGCAGAAAAGGTGTTTGTGAGTACATGGGAGTGGAGGTGGGATAAGCTTCTCCTTCTCTCATAATATTCATAGAACTCAAGGTTATCCAATAAAGCTGAATGGTGGAGTATTGGGGACAGACAAAAGGCATTATTTGGTTGCTCAGCACACAGTTAAACAATGAATTTCGCAACTACAAAATGTAGTAATAGCTATCAACTGGGCTTTAAAAAGGGACTAGACAATTCCCTTGAAGTTCAAGAGCATGCCTCTCTGTCCTATTTGCTGGGGAAAATGTCAACTGACAATCCTCTGTTGCCCTTGGCTTCCCACAAATATTTACTCATAATTGGCCATTGTGAGAAAGGGAATCTGGACAAGATAAGTGTTGGGTCTCCTCCAATGTGGTCTTCTTATCTTCTTTTCTTTTTCTTTTTAGCAGCTTAACATAGAGGACCACCATATTTCAGTGATACTTTGTCTTTTTTGACTTCTGGAATGCCAGGTTGAGCAGAGCTGGTGTGGTGTGCCAATCTCACTCTCCTTCTGTTCTCCCCACAGATGAGAAGCAAAGCAAACATGATGGAGAAGCTGAAGAATTCCCAGTCTCCTGTTGATCCTGAGCAGCAAAACCTTCCACCAGCTGTTTCCCCAACCCCTCATCCTTCCCCAGCTGGTGGGGGGGATGATGTAGAGGCCACCCAACCCCCCACCAGCCCCACCTCTTCCTCACCTCAAACAAAGGGGAGCCCTCCCGCTGAGCTTCCCCAAGCAGCACTGCCCCCCAATGTCCCTGTCATCAGCCTGGGCTACAGCAAGCCCCCAACTCCTGTTGAGGTCCCCACAACCCAACTCACTGCCCTACACCCCATTCCCAACTTCTTACAGTTCTCAGGTCTGCCACCCGGACCCCCTCCACCATCCTTGCCTCTGGCTGGAGTAAGGAGTCCACTTTTAGCCCCACAATATCAGCCTCATCCCTTTCTCAACAAGTAAGTCTAGAGGGAAAGGAATCAGATTTCGGGGGGATGGGGAAAGGAAGAAATCCTGGCTATGTTGGTAAGCTGCCAGCACCAACCCTGGAAACAAAGGCAGTGAGTCCATCTAGTTTGTGTTATAGGTAGTCCCCAGTTTAAGAACGACTTCTGTTCCCAAGGTCTGTCCTTAAGTGGAATTTGTACAATATATAAGCTGGAACAGTATTATTGTATAATACTGTATAAGTAGTATTGTGTAATGAACTTGAACCAGTGTGTGTTTAACTTGAATCAGTGTATTTAACTCAAATTTTGCTACAATAGGCTCCATTCTTAACTATGGGTCATCTGTAAACAAGGCATTCTTAATCT